AAATCATCATTAATTGAAATCCATTGTTTGCCAAATACTAAAGAAGATTTATGTACACAATATTATTCCAAATAACAACCTAACCTAAGCTAAACCTAGATTTAAAAACTTTAGATTCACTGATATTTACTCTGAATGTTATTCTACAGACAAATTTTCAATCATCAAAGTAAACATTACTTTCTCAAAATAATCAGTTCAATTTATCTTCTCAATTATTTGCAGGCTGCTTTGATTGACGTACGTAAATCAATTACGTGCCATTAATTGAGATCCGTTGTTTGCCAAATACCAAATAGCATCGTTTCGATGGTTTATGTAGAAATTATTATTGGAAATAAATTTCTGGCCGAAAAGGTCAGATTTCAAGTAGCTCGACGCTTTCGCTGCCGCCCGCGCAACAATTATTTTTTCGGCTGCGTGGGAGGGCTTGCTTAGTTTCCGCTCGAGGTATCCCTTTCTGTTTGCCAAGCACTTTTCACCAACCTTTGCTCCTCGTTAGCCTGCCTTACCCTTGCCGCTGCATTCGATTAAAAGCGTTTTCGCTGCTTTCTGTTTCAGTTACCGAGAAGGAGATCCGGCAATGGTGAGTCGCAAGTTTTCACCGGGAAAGTCAGCCGCCCGACCGATTCCTTTGCCCCCTCCTTCCCCCCCTCCTTCTACCGAGATGGAAATGGCAGTGTGTCGTGGACATCTCTCTCTCTCTCTCTCTCTCTCTCTCAGGCCGTCCAACTCTCGGGTTTCAATTAATTTCGAAATTAATTTGCACGGGAGAAAGGATCCCGTTTGCACGTAGTTGCACGTGGCATCGGTCAAACGGAGGCTTTAGTCGCGTCTTCAATTTCCTCATCTTTGTTGGAGGACCGTCTCCTTCAAGAGCGTGGCCGACATGCAGTTCAGACGAACGTGCACGTGGAATAATATTTCATTGAGCACACGAGAAACACGAGAGAAAGTAAAATGTGTCTAGTGTCTTTTTTGTAATATGCTCTGGCCAAGAAAACTACCACGACCGGTGTTTTTTTGCCGTCATTATTCTGGCAGATGCGAACTACTTTCGTGGTGTCGGCTCCGCATCGCAGAGAAATTAATTTAAACGAAAAGTTATCGATACTTGAAAACTTTTACAACTTTGTAAAAAAAGGATCATATAACAGTCTCATTTTAAAGCGTGAAGCTGCTATTTTTTTTTCTTTTTTTCTTTTTCAAGGTACTTCAACGTCACGCAGCGAATGAAAGTGTTTAAAAAAAAAAAAAAAAAAAAAAATTGTAAAAATTCACACGTGGGCGAGAACAATGAAAACTTTTATTTATGGACTAAAATCCATTACGGCTTTGAAGATTGAAGTTTCCCCTCTGAAAACAAACCTTTAAAACTTGCTGATTTTACTTTATTTTGAATATTAAACGACAAACGACAAATTTTTTCGTCATCTAACCCAAATGTTCGAAGTTCAATAAGATGACAAACAAAAAATCGTACAGCAAGTTTCAAGGAGTCGTTGTAAAGAAAAACTTTCAGTTTTCAAGACCATTATGAAAAGAAATTTTTAACTTTTCTAAAGTTTCTGCTTGAATTTTTGACGATTTTCGAAAATAAAACATCTTTGAAAAAAAAAAAAAAAAAAACGTCAAAGTAAAGGCCTTACGCTTCAAAATCAGACCAAATAAATTTCTCTACGATTTTCTTTTACGAAAATATAAATAATTTAAAGTATTTTTAAAGTATAATTATATATAATTATGTATAATTATATTTTATAATTTCATAATTTTGTATAATTATGTATAATTATATTTTTAAAGTATAATTTAAAGTATTGACAATTTTTGATTTCTCGATCATTATGTGTTCAGTTATGCTCTTCACTGATACGTACATTCCCGCTCAGGAATCTTAGGTTAAATTACATTTATATGATGAATACAAATACAATAAATATAAATTATAAATTGTATACAACGAATGCGATATTTACAACACAATATAAAAGTAGAAATTGCATACACGATATGCAGTACAATAATATAAATTGTTGTGTTTACAATAAATACATGCAATATAATTAAATACAATAAATGTAAAACGTACTTTGTATGATAAATAAAAACTCTATTAATATATTAATATACTGTAATTATATGTTGTATTATTACAGTACATGCTTATTTAAAATTGAAATTAAATTAAATACAAAAGACATTCAATTTTATTCACATTTAGTTTTAAATTAAAATTAAATACCACGAATCTAAAACATACTTTATACAATAAAAACTCTGTTAATATATTAATACATTGTATTATATGTTGCATCGTTACAATATATACATACAATAAAATTAAATTAAATACAAAATACATTCTACTTTAAATTGATATTAAATACCATACATACAATATTGTTCAATACAATGAGTAAATATAAAACATACTTTGTGCAATAAAAATTCTGTTAATATATTAATATATTGTATTATATATTGCATGTTACAATATATACATCCAATAAAATTAAATTAAATACAAAATACGTTCTACTTTAAATTGATATTAAATTGATATTAAATACCATACATACAATATTGTTCAATACAATGAGTAAATATAAAACATACTTTATGCAATAAAAATTCTGTTAATATATTAATACATTACATATTGCATCGTTACATTACAATATATACATACAATAAAATTAAATTAAATACAAAATACATTCTACTTTAAATTGATATTAAATACCATACATACAATATTGTTCAATACAATGAGTAAATATAAAACATACTTTATGTAATAAAAATTCTGTTAATATATTAATACATTGTATTATATAT